AACCTCCATCCTTAAAAACCGATGGGGACAAATGTAGAGACAACTTTCAGGAAAGGGGGGGGCGCGGCCGTACAAGCCTTGCTCGGGAGATACGGAAACAACGAGTAAGATGGGGCGCGGTGGCGGGGTTTGAACTCAAAACTTCCAGATCACCATCGTCACGATCTTACCATTTAACCATTGTAGTGGTGGTATATGGATTGTGCAGGAAAAATTCATGTTGCATATACAAAGATGATTATCATTAGTCTGAACAATATCAAACTCGACCGACTGATAGTCTTCCTGATTTGGATAAATTAGTATGCAACGGTGTGTACGTATTGGCAAAGAATTATAGAAGAGGGAGTGAAGCCCACGGTCAAGAGTATAGGCTTTTCAGTTATACGATCACGTGATCTCATAACAATACTACAGGGAAATACAATGAAGCAAACTTCAATAATCACTGCCAAGCTAACAACACACTATATTAGAATGACTAAGGTGGACAGTGAATAGGTTTAATTGCAGGGGGGGCGAAAAATTGATCTTAACTCTAGGAGCTTGGAGTAACGACCTGTGTAAGGCCCCAGTAAGATACATGTGGTATAACGCTGGACGACAGCGAAGCTTATTACTCCCTAACTTGGATGGAGTTAGAACCCCGGAACTCAGTTTCAAGCGAGCGAATCACAGCTAGTTAAATCGCTATACCATGATGACTTCTTCTGGTATGACAAAAAGTAGAGATAAGGAAACGCGCAACCGACCGCCCCCTCCCCCAAACCAACACACACATACCAGCTACTTACAAGTCCGGATCCGTGTTCAAACCAACGATCAGTTTGTCCCGGTTTCGGATTTTGTGCGCGCCCAACAGAAATGTGCCATCGCCGCCCGCAGTGAAGATCACATCGGCCCAATTCACTGAGTCCACGGTGTAGCCCAGACGATTAACCACCTGGATTTCTGCACCACGTGCACTGAGAGCGAGCGAGGCCAGGCGGCAATAGTGTGGGAGAGAGAGGCAAAAGGACAGTGTGTGTGAGGTTAGAACTGCTGTCAGTTTTAACCGAATAGCAAAAACTTGACAATCATGGCGAATGGAATGAAAGGAACATCTGGCCGTTCTTTTGTGCAACCGATCGCACTGAAATAAATGATTACATGTGCACAGTAATTC